TGTAAGCTTGATTCAATTGGGTGGTCTTCGTCGAAGGTGAACTTTTTTATTACTTCCAATTTTTGATGTAACTGTTGTGGATTCGTGTTGTGTGCAATCTAATCTGATAAAAATTGAACAAAACCATTAAGAAAGTCCCTGATTTTCTAAGAAGTCCCATTTGCGCGTTGCCAAGTTAAATTAAAAATAAATGATCACAAAACTCGATATTTCAAGAATAATTTCTAAAAAAGAAAAATAGGATTTGTTCTTTAGTTATTTCGTCATCATCAGCATTGCTTCCAGTTTTGCAAATATCACGTTAATTTTGGCATAAAATTGACGCACATTTTTATTATGCGCTTGTTTTAAGACTTTCCAAATATCTTGTCAAAACATGCATAGAAATAAAAATAACGTAGATTGCGATAAGGAATTGGGTTATGCTCCAAATCAAAGGGTTGATCCAATTATTCGAGTAGCTCGTTCCAGTTCGCAAGGGGCACAACAAAAGGAAGACAGGCAGGTAATATCTTAATGAAATCCGAGAAATGTTGATCAATAGAACTTAAATAGGGAACATCACTCACATAGCTAGGGCTTAATTAAACCGCGGAATTGTCTTGTATGTTTTTCACTTTAATTAAAGCCAATTAAACTATAACATTTCCGATTTAATCAAGTTTCGAAGTGGAATTTGTTAATTATGCTTTTAAATTGAACGCGTCACGTCGTTTAGATTTATGAATATCAAATGTTCGAGAGTTTGGAGCCGAACTTTATGAGATTCTTTCGGAAATTGCTTATTTAATCGAAACCACTGCGTAAAGTACGCTCGAAACAAAGCGGAGCTCAGATCTACATTGAATTTAAACGACTTGTTATAAAAATCAGAGATATTTACTATAGGTACTACAACGTCAATAATCAAAATCGAATAGAAAGGTATTGATTAAATTTCATTGAGAATTAGTAAAATATTTCTCATACACGGTTTTCCAAAATAGACAATATTTTAGAGGGCGATAGATACCTTGTTAAAAAATATGAAATGCAGAGTTTTTAAGATACACAGATTATTTTTTTAAAGTTGAAATAAACAAATGTTCACTCGATTCTGTTGAAATTTGGAAATTTAAGAGTATTAAGAAACCAATTCCTAATCGATTAAAATTATTAAGTTTTGAGCAAAAATTGCCTAATGATTGCGCATTTACGATTTTATTTCTTAAATCTTTTATTGTTTCTATGGGGTAGAAGCACTTGTGATTTTTTTAAAATTGGAGTAAAAAATATTTCTTTTCTACTAGCTACTCTAAAATATCCAAATATGCGTTAATGATGAGTGAGCAAAATTTCTCCTTCAAAACTCTCGTGAGTAAATTCGAGCAATTATTTCCATTACTTTAATCACTGGTTGAGAGGGTACTGGATATTTTTCGTAGATATTTATAACACTGATGGTATTTTGCCATTTGCCAGTAATACAAGAAAGAAAACCAGGTCGTACTAAGTAACTCAGTGAATGTATCGGTGCTGTTTTGCAAAAGTGGACCCAAAAACAAATAGTCGTATAAAAAGTATAGTTGCAGTACATAAATTTCTTAGGCTCGTGACTAAAGAGTCGTTTATTAAATTTGTTGCAAAATATGCTATTTTAAACGAGCATTAAATGATTTTTTTCCACTGTCTTTAATATTCACAGCTCACTAGATAGCAAGAGTTATAGACGGTAGTCAGAAAAGGTGTGTTTCATTTTTTAAAAAATCAAATTAATTCAAAATAATTTTAAACCTTATATTCTTTTATCTTATCGAACATTAATTGAAACAATTTCTTTAAATAATAAGCGTAGGTTCGGAGAAAGCTTATTTTACAAGATATGTCTTTTTTACAATTTGTTGAGCAGTTTTTGCCCGATTTTGTTGAAATTTCGCAGCATAATATATAATGATAAAGGGCTAATTTTGCTTTAACTAGATTTAATTTTCTTGACTCTTGAGTTGCTTGCGTATCTTGCCTCGTTTTCGAGTGACTAAATAAAAACCATGAAAATTGAACATTCACTGTATGGACCTTTTGATCACAATAAACTTAGTTCTAAAAAATGAACACTAAAGAAAATGATGAAAGAAAACCACCACCAACTTAATTGTAGTCATATGTATTGCACTTTGGAAACTAAGCATTTGTGAATCTACGTTCGTATCACCTACAATTTATATTGTCCACTTTTAAATTAAAATGTTTTTTAAATTTTTTGTTCACAAATGTAGTACAATTACTTTTTAAAATTTATTTAAGGGGTGATGTTGATTTAGAATCGGTTGATATAAAATGTAATTTTCTTAAAATTGTTCTATATATCCCCGTCCGAAATTAAGCTTAAAATGTCCGTTAAATTTTACGTCATAGATTAAACGGTTTCCTACTAGTTTGTCGAACGTTGTGCGCGTCGGCCTGGAAATAAAACTTTGAACGTCAATTTGTCGTGTCTGCATTATTGATGGGATCCGGGGACACTTTCCTTAATGTCATTATCATGTTTGAGTCCTGGAGTCTCGTATTGATATACGCGTATGAAAATTCTTCCCCAAACTATTCGGGGCTACGTAATTAAGCTTATTTAATTAAACTGACAGCTGACTAATACCCGTTATCCCTCCATAAATTGAAGTTTCGTGTTTACACCGACACCGACTATATAATGATACCGTAACATTTTCGAAGTTTCGGAGGAGGGGCATTATCAAACTTTTAATCTCTTCACTAAGTGCATAACTTTTAAAGGCATTTTATTAGGACGTTCTACGTATAAATATACAACGAAATCAATTTGGCGAATGAACGGGGCCTCGGCTGAAGAATTTATGGCTTTTTTATTAGTCGCAACCAGTCATGTATTATGTACCATATTAAATTTATGGGGGGGAAAGCTGATGCTATCCGGGTACTGTAGGCGTTTCCGTACCGAATTGGGTAAGTCGTAAAGAAAACTTTTCACTTCAAACCGTCGAAGATGCAATGGAATTTTGAATATACAGGATGCTGAACGATTTTTGTTCAACCACTTGTCGAAAGGATTGGGATGTAATCGAAAAGTGGAAAATCAAAATCAAGAAAATTTAATAACGCATTGATAATATTACCAGCAGACAACTTAACTATAAGAAGTTTGTATCTGTAACTGAAAGTTAACTTTTTTATTACTTTGAATTTTTGATGTAACAAAACTATTAAGAAAGTCCTTGATTTTCTCAGAAGTCCCATTTGCGCGTTGCCAAGTTAATTTAAAAATAAGTGATCACAAAACTCGATATTTCAAGAATAATTTCTAAAAAAAAAAAAATAGGATTTGTGTTTTAGTTATTTCCCATCATTAGGGCTTCAGTTTTTGCAAATATCACCAGTCATGTATTATGTACCATATTAAATTTATGGGGGGGAAAGCTGATGCTATCCGTTTACTGTAGGCGTTTCCGTACCGAATTGGGTAAGTCGTAAAGGAAACTTTTCACTTCAAACCGTCGAAGATGCAATGGAATTTTGAATATACAGGATGCTGAACGATTTTTGTTCAATCACTTGTCGAAAGCAATGGGATGTAATCGAAAAATGGAAAATCAAAATCAAGAAAATTTAATAACGCATTGATAATATTACCAGCAGACAACTTAACTATAAGACGTTTGTATCTGTAACTGAAGGAGAATGGCTCGAACCACGGCACTGGTTAAAAAAGATGCGTTATAAAAAATTGAAAAATAATATCCATATCATATGTTTGACCGAGAGTTTCTATACAAGATTAAAAATTCCCAGGCCCGCCCAAAGTAAAGTTTTGGTCTCTGCGTAATAATAAACAACAACCAACCAACGTCCTAAAAAAAATGCAGGTACTTATTACATCCACATATGTGGCTCTAATGTATGGAGAACATTTTTTTGTTGTTTTTTTCTCAATGGAGGACTATTAAGTAAGAAAAGTAAGAATCAGAGACAATGATTAACATCTATATATATATATATATATATATATATATATATATATATATATATATATATATATATATATATATATATATATATATATATATATATATATATATATATATATATATATATATATATATATATATATATATATATATATATATATATATATATATATATATATATATATATATATATATATATATATATATATATATATATATATATATATATATATATATATATATATAGAGAGAGAGAGAGAGAGAGAGAGAGAGAGAGAGTAGAGGAGGCACTCCTGCTTGTAGAAGAAAACGAAGATCTTTCGCCGTACATAATGAATCTGAAGACACTGCCTGAAAAATGCCTACTTTATGTACAACGAGAAAATATACCGACAAGTAAATGGAACAGCAATGAGATCATTCCTCTCACCTGTGATTGCCAACCTCTTCATGATTTACTTCGAAAAAAAAGCAATAGAGAAGGCAAATTTGAAGCCAAAACTATGGACAAGGTACGTTGATGACGTATTTGTTGTATGGCCTTTCGGCAAGGAGGAGCTTTTGAAATTCCTAGAACATCTGAATTCCACTCACCCAAGGATTCAATTTACAATAGAACTTGAAGAGGATAACAGTCTGCCCTTTTTAGATATGCACGTCACCAGGACCGAAGATGGACACTTGGAACACACTGTCTATAGAAAACCAACACACACCAATAAATATCTGAACTCTAAATTTCATCACCTCCCATCACAGATACATTCTGACCCGGCCTCGGACGCCTCGAATGTTCCACCCCTCTCTCTACCAGTCGCTGCGTTGTTCGCTAGGAGTCAGTGGAAAAGGGAAGTCGGAGCGCGCTAATATATAGACGTTATATAAATTATTTGTAGTGTGTAGATAGTGACTTTGTTATTTTTGACGCAAATAATTTTAAATTCCAAGTTAAGTTACAATTTTGACTCGGTTTAAAAACGTAACATATATTTTTCTAATTAATGTTCGTTTCTTTGCTTTCAGGTAACGATAGAAAGGATCGGTTTCAATCAGGTATGTTATTTATAATTTTATGTATATAAATTGTTTATTATCGTGGATGATAAGCCGATTTGCATGAAGAAATCGTGCTATTGCTGTACATATTTGTGGCCAACCACGTATTTCCATTGCAATTTGGTCCTGGGAAATTTTTTCGTTATGCTTAAGCAATTTTCTGTAGTGTTGGATTGTACAAGGGCAAGTATTTTTTTCTTAGCTAAAGCTTAGGTGACTTTATTTTAGCATACATTATTGCCAATCTGTGTTTCTAAGAATAAAAATCGGTTGCATATCTGATGACAGGTGCAGGAGTTATTCGCTGAATAATAAAGTTAAATAATATAAAAATATCTAACTCGATATCGTCTTAACTTGAAACCATATAAAATTTGTCAATATGGCACAAATAATACAATTTCTAACATGTCACAGGTAATTTTTAAATTAATAATTGCAGGTAATTTCGGATAATTCCAAAAAATTGCATTATGTAGTATAGCAAATTAAAAACCTCTCCTATTCGCTGCTACTAGCTCAATCCCAATGTTTAAATAGCTTTATCCAACTATGTAGGTTATATTTGAAGTTTTGTAAAAACGGAACGTAGAAATTTTGGAGGCTTTTGACTCTCTTTTATCAAGTGATCCAGTGTTGCCGATTATATTGAAAAATATCCATAGCTTTCTCGTTTTTAAATGAGACAACCTATATTTTGTTATTTTTTGGCTTCGTTATCAATTATTTCTAATCATTTTTGTAAAATATTTTATCACGATTTTGTATAAATATTATTCGATTACTCGATAAGAAACTATTAAAAACGAAAGCGATAATCCGCAGCGAACATTCGAATTCTTTAAATAAAAGAGCAATGAGAATTTGAATCCAGCTTTGTTTCATCCGAGACATTTGAGATTAAGTAATTAGGTATCTTGAGATTCGCTTCTACAAGAATGATCTGGAAGTGCTAACCCCTCCGAAAATGCAGCAATATACTGAGATCCCGTTTAAAAAATCAAAGTTCTTGCTACAGTTTTAGCTATGCGGCAACACTGCCCTCAAATGCCTCATAATGTATGAGGCATCCGTACATTTTTTAAAGACCCAGATGAGTCTCAATCATTATAATAAATAATACATAGATGTGTATACGAAGTCCAAGGAATGAATTCTACTCTTATACAGGGTGTTTTCTGATTGAATGTCATTCATTAAAGGGGCGATTTTTGGGTCTATTTTAAATAGGAAAATTTAAAAAATAAAAAAAATAATATGAACATATGTCCTAGACGTTTTAACTTTTGAGATGCGGGGTGGTAAAGTTTTCAATATTAAAATATATTTTTTAATGCCACCTTACGCCACTGATTTCTCGTCAAATAAAAATTAATCTTACAATCTCCAATCATTTCTACCGAAATGTAATTTCTTGATTTTTTTTCAATCCGATCTACGGTTTTCGGTTTAAAAAATTAAAAAAAAAAATAAAAAATCTCTTCCCTAAAAAAAATTAAGGGATCAAATCTGCTCATAACTGAATACAAATGTTTTTTGTAAGGAAATCAGTGGCGTGTCACTGTCTTTGAACAAATAATATTTTAATTAATTAGTGCACGTTAAATCGGGAAGTTTTTTTTGTGAAAAATAAAATATTTATCCAAAGCAAAATATCTACTTCTTAGTTACCAACAATTAGAAGATTGTTCTTTTTAATTTTAATGAAATAACATAACATCCTTACAACGCGATAAATAATTAACGATCCTTATTTAAAAAAAAAAACACTACCTACTGTTATTATTTTTTAACATAATTGTCTGTAATAAATTAATAACAACCTTTTTGAAAGAGAGTAGAACATATAAACTAGATAATTTGTTGAAAGCGTCCTCCACCACGGATACACGTTTCAGTTCTTTCCCTCGTATTGCCACGCACTCTGTGATGTATACTTCCACGCTTTTTCCTAGCAGGAAAAAGGGTCCAACAATTCCAGCCCAAACATTCACCGAAAACTGTTCTTGATGTTTAAATTCTACAACTGCATGGGACATTTCATCGACCCAAATATGTGGAATATGTGGAAATTTCTAATTGCATTTCTGGAAAGGTTAGTTTTGGTTAGTTACTAGTGTAATTAGTATTTCTTGGTCAAACAAGGGATAATGCGCAATTTTGTCCAAAAACCATTGACAAAAATTAACACGCAAGGGAAAATTTTCCAAACTTAGACGTGCTAGTACTATTTTCAGTATTGTCATCATTAGAATTTAAAACTGCTTCTTCAATTTCTGTGATGGACCCATTTTAAATGATTATTTGCCCCCAGTCAATCTGCTCTGTATATGTGTAAATGTTCGCCAAAGCATACATAAAATGCATATCTGCCAACTGCTCATTAGTAAATTCCACCCTTCTTTTTTAAAATAATAGGGCTCGGATATTTTAACACCAAATTACTAAGACGCGAAGAACTGAATTTATAAACTGATGTCAACAACAACTGTTAAACAACCGCCTTGACAACAGAATTAATACTTCTTACAGACACAGCCTACTGCATTGATAAGAAATAATTAAAAAGATTTCAAAAATACAGCTCACAGTTTACGTACCTCGATTTTAGTATTTAGTATTACGTATTAGCATTTTAATAAAACAGTTAGACAATTACTTGGGAAATAAATAATAATGATAATAATTCTCTGCTTGCTGTCATATTAACGATATTCTTATGACCATGCAGAGAAGAGGTTTTTATTTGTTTAAGCGAAAACCATACATTGGTTGGAAAAAAATCCAGACATTAAATTTCTTTAGAATTGATTAACATTAATGCTTTCATAACAATATCTAAAGTGGTGTTACAGATATTAAAAAAATATGTTTTATCTTTGAAAACTTTACCACCCTCAAACGTTTACGACATATTTTCAAATGAAGTTTTCTTTTTAAAATGGACCCAAAAATCACCCCCTTAATTAACATTAATTCTTTGTGAGTAGTTGTGAAAAAACCTGTATAAATGTTACCAGAAATTTGGAGTTTTGCAGTTGTTGCATTTGTTATATAACGCAATAAAAAAAATTGTTAATTGCATACCTATCTGCAACTGAAAATATGTTTTCGACCTAGTCCAACGTTCGAGTTACCAGAGAGTCGCCGCCGCCTATTTATGAAGCCGGCATATTTGCAAAAATCGATCCGACCGCTTGCTTGCTGCTGGCTCCACTAATTACAAACGCTGTCTAATTAACGATATATAGGAAATTGTTCTGCAATACTTTGAAGTGGCAGGCAGCCGGAGCCGTTCTGCCGCCGCCTCCCACACCCCCTTCCTCTCCTAACTCTTTCTCGGTCCCTCTCTCTCGCATTGCTATACACTGATGATGAGATTTAATTAATTAACAGATTACTAATTAACTTGATTGAGAAATTTCATAACGGGGAAATTCTTTAATGCACTTTTTCAAAGCTTCATTTACTTTTCATTCTTTATTTAAGGGTTTTTTTCGCGTCCTCCAATTACGAAAATATTGCCGGCAGTACTTGCGGCGGGAGCGGGGGAGGAAAGCGGTATTTTTTCTTCAGCGGTTTGTGCGGGCCGTCATCTTAAATTTTCTAAATTAAAATTGTTGGAGCCCTCTAATTACCTTTTTCTGTAATATAAACGTTGCGGAATTGTATACTTTATCTAATTATTATTACTACAAGAATTTTATTGCCGGATCGCATTTTTTTTAATATGTTTTCTCAGCTTTTGCTACACCATTTTATTTAGTTTGTAGGGTACCTTTTAGGTAAAATAAAAAAAATTAGGTCTACAATACTGTTAAGTGGTAGACATCCTTCTCCCATAATTTGTTACTTGGTAACTGTCGGGTAAGCACGAGATTCTTTAATAATGCGTAATAGACAAGGAGAAGAATCCAGGCCGCTTACATACACCAAACAAAATATATATTTTTTAAATTTATTACAACAAAAAAGGATATTAAAAAACGTTTATCTTATATATATTGAAAATATATATCAATTAAATTTTAATGCCTATTGATTTTTTAAAACCAACTCTTGCTTAAAATAATACTTATTTTGACTGCCTATTGCTTTTAGAGCAACATCATTTTTTAAAAGGAATTTGCAAAACCCCAAACAACTTGAATTCCCGTTGCATCTTGTAATCATGGCTGATTTCAAAGTGCTCAAAGTTTTTCGCTACTCCAAAAGTTCTTTATAATTGAAAACACTCTTTCGTCCTCTGAATTAGTACCTGGTAGGCAGAGTGCTAATCCAATCATGAAAGATATGTTTTTCAACCCCAGTTGTTTTTTTGTACAGTTAACAAAAACTTCTTTATACATTTTTAGACATTCTAGTGTTGATATTTCCTTACTTTGTATGAGCAAACTCGTTTTATGGAAAAGTGCGGCAGCATTATGCGCAAATATAAACCAGAATTCTGTTTCCGGATTGTTGAAGGTTTTAATTATTAAGGGGAATTTCGATATTAACCAGAACTACGACTTAAGAGTGGGAAATATTGAAAAATCCGGGACAATTCAGCACGAAGAGATTTTCCAGGACGTTGTCGGGAAAACCTGAACCTGTACTAGCCAAACTTGTACGTACGGTTGGTCAGCGTGTAATAGACGATGGATGATGAAATTCTTCTTAATTTTTTTATCTGAAAAAATTATTATTTGATACTTTGTTCCACTAACTTTTTCTAGATCATAGATGGATAGACAGATTATGGTTTATTTGTTCCAAATTATGACAATAAGAAAAAAAATAAATAAAATGACAATGACATGGACCATAGTTTAAAATACTAAAATAACAATAAAACTATTTATATATACGTATATGCAAGTTAGGAGAATTCTGCAATATGTCATCTTAAATTTGGTTGGTTGGTCCAAGGAATAAAAAGCTTTTTGCAAAACATAGTGCCAAATTTTGCTTTTGGCTTTTTTTATCAGGCATGCTACCACATTTTTCTGAGTACC